AGAGGTGGATGAGGCTCGCTTTGAGAAGGCACAGTTGGCGGCCAGTGGCTGGGCGGCGCGGGACGACGCTACCGTGCTCGCCATCACCGACCTCCTGCCACTGTCTGAGCAGCATCACTTCGAATAGGAGGTGACAGCCAAGGGCCTTTTCGACGTGGTAGTCAAACGGTACTCCACCCCGACCACTACGTCCCTCGGCTGTCTTGTGCTGCCCTTCCTTTTCCCCGACCTCCCCTCGTTTCCGCATGTTGCTGACCTCATTCTGCACTTGCGCTCTCTTGATGCTCAGCTCCACTCTGCTGCCCCTGACCCCGCCCTGCTTACCACCAACCCCCCTGCGATGTGGATGACACTGTACCTCCTTTCCACCTGCCTCCCTGACCGCTTTGCCACTGCCTGTGACCACTTCCTCACTATTGACCTCTTTGAGGAGAGGCTCACTAACATTGAGGACCTTGCCCGCTCCCTTGCTGCTGCCTCTAGTACTGTCCTCCCCCCCATCTTCGAGGGGTGTGCCCCTTCGTTCCTTGCCTCTCCTGACAACTCGGCCTCTGTTGCCACTTCATCCGAGGTCGCAGCTGTTGCCTTTGGCAACAAAGGGGGCAAGAAGAGTGGTAAGAAGGGAGGAGGTGGTGGCAGTGGTGGGGGTGGTGGAGGGGGCAGCGGTGGAGGTGGTGGAGGGAGTGGTGGTGGAGGTGGTGGAGGGGGCAGTGGTGGGGGGGTCGGAGGGAGTGGTGGTGGCGGCGGCGGAGGGGGTGGGAGTGGTGGTGGAGGTGGAGGTGGAGGCAGTGGAGGAGGAGGTAGTGGGGCGTCCCAGCAGCAGCAGTCCCAGCAGCAGCAGCCCCAGCAGCAGCAGCAGCAGCAGCAGCAGCAGCAGCACCAGCAGTAGCCTCAACAACAGCGGCAGCCGCAGTTCCAAGGCCAGCGCCAGCAGACCCAGCAGCAGCAGTGGGGGCCGCCTGGACCAGGGAGCTCTGTCAGCAGCAGCGGCCCACCCAGCTGGACGTCGCGTGGACCGGTTCTGCACCCCCTCTGCCAGTACTGGGTTCAGACTGGGCTGCGCAGAGATGGCATCTGTGGCCGCCCCCACCCTGCGGGTCAGTGCTTTCCGTAGCTTACTGACCGCTACCGCGCCCAGTTTGGCCCCACCCGCTCTGCCCCAGACTGGGCCTCACTAGTCCGCACTGTTGGCGCGCAGTTGTATCGCATGTCTGCCGCAGAGTTAGATAATGTTGTACGAGCTGTTTCTGTGATGTATGCTGATGACTCTAGTGTTGATCATTCTGGCTATTACTCTTTCGTGTCTAGCTTAGGTGCTGTAGAGGTTGCTAGTGCTGTACCAGCTAGAGTAGCTTGCGCAGGTCCGACCACCCAGGCTGCGTCCCTTTCGTTCACACTCGACTCGGGCGCGTTCAGCTGTTTCTTTCTTGGCCACACCGACCTCACGCCACTACGCACCCCGGTGACTGTCGCCTTGGTTGACCCCTCAGTGGGAGCGGTGGTTTCCCGCAGCACCACCACTCTCCCGTGTCCGGCGGCTCTCTCTGGGGTCCTTACAGGTTATTACACCCCTTCGTTCTCCAGGAACTTGGTGGGTGTCAGCCACCTCTACGACCTCGGAGCAGTCACCACTTTTCCTTTAGATGAGCATGTTGCCTCTTGCACAGACGGTGTCACAGGGGCCCCTCTGGCTACTTTCCCCAGGGAGTCGGGCTCTGGTCTTTACTCACTACACACTGAGTCCTGCCGCACAGGGTCAGGTCAGTTCAGGCCAGGTCAGGTAGCTGCTGTGTCGTGCGTCTGACAGACACTCACCCACCCGTCGGTCCTCTGGCACCACCGTCTAGGTCACCCGTCGTTCCCACCTCTCATTAGGATGGCACGTCACCGTCTGGTCTCAGGTCTCCCAGAGTCGCTTGCACCGCTTCCCCGCTAACTTGCGCCGCCGTGCACTCCTTGCGTCGAGGGTCGGCAGCGCGCTGCCCCTCACTCCTACTCGTTCCCTCCCACCACGACTCCCTTCCAGACCCTGCACTTGGACGTCTGGGGCCCCTCCCCGGTCCTTGGTCCACATCAGGAGCGCTTCTTCCTGATTGTGGTGGATGACTACTCCCACTACACCACGGTTTTCCCCTTGCGACGGAAGGCCGACGTGCCTACTGTCCTTGAGCCGTGGCTACTAGCAAAAAGTGGCGCCCAGGGCCTTTTTGGGCTCCGCCTACACTCGGACCGCGGTGGTGAGTTTTCTTCCACTTGCCTGGAGACGTTCTGTCAGGGTCGGGGGATCATCCAGTCTTACACGCTACCAGCCTCGCCGCAGCAGAACGGGGTAGCCGAGCGACGCATAGGCCTGGTCATGGAGGTTGCCCGGACCTCCATGTGCCATGCCGGTGCCCCCCAATTCTTGTGGCCTCAGGCAGTCCCCCCCGCAGCGTCCAGTGCCTGTCGTGTCTAGGGGTGCGGGAGGTGCAGTTGCGGAGGGTGAGGGTACTGGGGTTGCTGGAGTTGGTGGTGTCGGCCCTGGGGGTGCAGGGGGTGTGGGCGTGGAGGTCACTCCCGTGGAGGACACGGCAGCCTCAACCCGGCGACCTTGCCCCACGTCACCCCCTGGCTTCCCGTCCGTCCCGCAGTTCCCTCCTCGTTCTTCTCCAGCCTGGGGTTGTTCCTGGGGGAGGTACTGGAGGCCCCAGGGGTGTCGGTGGTGGGGGTGCTGGTTCTGGGGGTGCTGGAGCTGGAGGCACTGGCACTTTGGCGCCTACACTGCGCACTGTACGTTTCCTGACCCGTGAGCAGCGTCTCCTCCGGTTGGAGAGGGAGGAGCGTGAGCAGTTTGAGAGGGCACAGCAGCAGCAGCAGGACCAGTCTCAGTCGCAGCAGGAGGAGAGATTTGAGGAGGAGTTCCGGTCACACCAGGAGAGGGTAGAGTAGAAGTCCAGCCCGTAGCAGCAGGTGGAGTTATAGACACAGCAGGAGAGGGTAGAGGAGTCACAGCCGCAGCAGAAGAGGGGAGAGGAGGAGCCACAGGAGCAGCAGCAGGGGCAGGTACCGTCGCTGCAGACGCCAGAGGAGGCGGAGCGGCAGCGACTGCGACTGGGCGACCTGCCTGACCCAGCACCTGCACGCTTGGTTCGTGGTCCCCTACCGTCCTCTCCTGTTCCCTTTGTCCAGTCTCTTTCCTCGTCCCAGTGGACTCGCCATTCTCCCCTTAGTCGTGCTGTGTCTCCAAAGCCACGTCGGTTGCATTATCGTGCAGACGGTCCGTTTCACCTTGTTCTCCGCTCTCATACTCCACCTCCTCCTGTCCTCCCACAGCCTCCAGAGTCGTCCCTCACTGTGTTTCACGACCCGTTGTCCGACTACCTCCATGCCTCTTGTCTTGTCGTCTCACGTGTTTTGTCCACGTTGGTCACTCACCCAACTGCACCTCTGTTGTCTGTCTCGGCGCTTGTTACGACTGTCGCTGGCTTCGCCTCTTCCCACCACCCTGACTGCGCCGCTCACTTGGTGAGTGGCCCTGCTCATTCTCCGTGCTCTGGGGGTGCTCCTGTCTTTCCCTTGGAGGTCCTTGAGGACAGGCAGTTCGAGCTTGGTTTCCTTACGGCCACTGTTCCTCATCTCTGCGCCTTGCTGCTTACCCCTGAGGGGGATCCAGACGCCCTTCACATCCCGATCCCTCGCACCTACGTCGAGGCGGTCTCGGGACCCTGGGCTTTGAACTGGATAGCAGGCAGAGATGGCATCTTATAAGTCCACAGGCACCTATGTTGAGGCAGTCCCACCACCAGGGACGAACGTCGTCAGTGGCCGATGGCTCTACAAGTTGAAGATGACTACTCTTCAGGTGTTGCTGTATATTGCAGCCCAGCGCGACTACGAGTTGCACTCCTTGGAATTTTCGACTGCGTTCCTTCAGGGGAGCCTGCACGAGTAGATCTGGCTGCGTCGACCGCCTGGCTTCACTGGTTCTTTCCCACCTGGTACCTAGTGGCCGCGGCGTCGACCGGTCTACGGCCTGCGCTAGGCTCCACAGTTGCCGCCACGTCCTGAGTCCGTTACTCGAGGCTATGGAGGTACTGGAGCTGGAGGTGCTGGAGGTTCTAGTGCGGGAGGTACTAGAGCTGCAGGTGTTGGAGCTGGAGGTGTTGGAGCTGGTGGTGCTGGAGGTACTGCTGCTGGAAGTACTGGAGCTGAGGGTATTGTGCAGCCACGGCAGTGCCGACCGCTGTTATGGGAGCAGCCGCAGCTGCATTCCACGTTGCCACCACCTGTCTCGGCACTTCACCAGGTTCTCGGTCTTCCGCCCGCTTCTGCAGAGCCCTCTATCACTGGTACTAATCCTCTACTGATCCCGCCTACTGACATGTCTCAGACACAGTTACCGCCTGACTCTCCACTACATGTTCCTTCTCGTTACACTGAGTTGAGGGACTCCCTAACCGAGCATCGAAAGCATGCGTCTTGTCTTGCTTCATCTGTTGCTCATAGTCGTCGTGCTCGCCGTGTTCACCCTCCTCCTGTTCCTGGCATCCACACCATGGCACTTCGTCCTTTCTCAGTTCCACAGCGTGTTGCCCAGCCGTTACCTCCTCCGTCTTCTCTTCCTAACGTTCCTGACCATCATTCTGACCTTGCTCTTGCTGCTAGTCCAACTGTCACTCGTTGTCTGGCCACACTTGTCGCTGACCCTACTCTTGAGGCAGCTGCTGCGTCTACCTTGGTCACTGAGCTCGTTGACTTTGTTGTTGCGTTCCGCCTTTGTCGAAGAGAAAGGCCCCGCCCTCGCTTGGGCGCAGCCGATTTCGCCGTCGACGAGAAGTTCTGGGCGGATTGGTCGAAGAAGTCAGCTTCTGCAGTTCGACGGAAGCTGCGGTCGAGCAGGCTCTGCTCGACAGAATCTGGTCGACGAGCTCTGCGCGATGAGCTCTGGTCAACGATCTCTGCGCGACGAGCTCTAGTCAACGATCTCTGCACGACGAGCTTCCGTCGAAGAGCGCTGGTCGATGATCCTGGCCGAGGAACTCTGGTCGAAGATTACGGGTCGAGGAACTCTGGTCGAAGAGTTCGGGTCGAGGAGCTCTGCTCGGCGAACGCTGTTCGACCGAGCGATGTCGAGCTGATCGACCGAAGTTGCAGAGTTGTGCGAAACTCTGCGGAGGTGTGCGAACTTTTGCCCAGGAGGTTTTGGCGAAGTTCTATCTGCAGAACGGCATCACGTGGTCGACGGTGCGCACCTGGCGAAACCGACGACACGTTTCCTACCTGGCACCTGTGCAATGTGTCTGACGGTGAAACCGCCAACCTGCACCTACTTGGTAGGTGCGCACATCTGCGCAGGTAGACAACCTGCAACTGCTGATAGTTACCTGCGACTGTAGATAGTCACCTGCGACTGCAGTGCTGGCAGACCGCGCGTAGTGCAACGCTGGCAGATTACTCTGCTGCAGCGTTGGCAAGCCGCTCTTCTGCTGCGCTGGCAGATTTCGCCCTTGCTAGGTGTTGCATGCCATTCTAGTCCTTTTTTTCTGCATGCCTCAATTGTACTATCAACTTTTCATTGCAAGTTGTTCTTTCAACTTTCCTTAGTGGAATTCTTGCCAAACTTCTTTGTGAACACAAGCAAGCAGTAAGAACGCTAGTGCAAGCTATGATCACTCGCACAACCTCGTGCCCTCCACCGTAGTCCACTCCCGTTGTGTAGTGACTCTCCGCATGGTGCGGAGAGCGTGGACAGCCCCGTGTTAGAACCTTGAGATTAGCCGACTTCGGCGTTCATTATCTTAGTTGTATTAGGCCGGCAGCCGTCTTAGTCGCCATGGTCGACCTTGTAGTCGAAGCAGGTGTAGAAGATACCCTAAAGGCAAGAGAGGCTGGTGTTCGGGCACGCCACGAAGCTGGCGGGTAAGGGGAGGCGGACTTGGAGATTCTGCTCCTTGAAACTTCTGCGCAATGGGCGCGTGAGCACCCCCCTCCCTGTCCAGAAGCGGACGACACGTCCGCCTCTCCCCGACCTGTGCATAACGAAGTAGATGGCGACAATGCTGTCGGCGGTGGAAGCACGGGGGTTCGCGGAGTGATTCGGCCCACCGACATCAGCATTGGCGGAGTGCAGGTGCAAGTGCTGCGATCGTCTGCGAATGGAGGCAGCTCGAACCGCAACATCGATGGTCGACGCCAATCTCCTCTGCGGAGTGGAGTCCGGCCGATTTTGGCGACTAATGCGTCGGCTGGTCGAGACGGAGGCATCGCGCCGGTGTACAGATATTTTAAATTTTCGCCAGACAAGATCACTGTGCCGAAGCCGCTCGAAGGTCGACACGACTTGATCATGTGGATTGAATACATCGAGCCTCAGCTGGAGATCGCTGAATTGAAGAAGTTCATTGACAACAATGTTGAGATGCCGGACGCAGACGACTCTGAACTCTGGGCGGAATTTCGCGCTGCTCATCTACTAACCTTCATGGTCATTTTGAGGTGTTGCTCACCTCTGGTGTAGGTCGCATTGACGTCGTGCAGACAACAGGTGGATGCTGGCTACCAAGCGTGGCAGTACATCATGCGCACCTACAAAGCGACCGACGACCTCTACATCAGACAACTGGAGAAGTTGTCGAGATAGGTGGTTTAGTAGGAAGGAATGAGTTGGATTAGGGCAAGGAGGGGGGATACAATGAAGTGTCGAGCAATTTACTGTACCAACTAAGGCTAAACCCACTACAGCCTAGATAGCAGTAAACATATAATTTGACACACCCCCATAGGCGAAGTGGGGGATAGCAAACACAACAAAGCGGTCACAAGACCAGTCAGGAGAAGAAACAAAGCAAAGCTAGCTCAGGGTGGATCTCAAGATCACCACGCACTCTGAGCACTAGCAAGCGGCCACAAGGCCAGTCCAAGAGGTTACATAAGATATATAGGTGCGAGTACAAGCAGAGCAAGGCTACGGCAGACGAGCAAAAAGGTCAACAAGCCACTGCCTCACCCTCCCCCCACAGTGGCATGCGCGGCCGTGAGAGAGAGAGGAGGAGGGGCGGCTGCTGGCTCCTCATACCCGCCACCCCCATACCCTCCAAGATCCCGCCACCCCATACCCCCCAAGATCCCGCCACCCCCATACCCCCCCCCCCCCCACTACTGCACCCGCAGTAGGGAGATGGAGGAGAGAGGGGGGGGGCGGGGGGGCTGGTGCTGCAGAGCCCCTCCCCCCCACTGCTGCACCCGCAGCAGAGGGATGGAGGAGAAGGGAGGGCGGGGGGGGGGGGGGGGGGGGGGGGGGGGCTGGTGTTGCAGATCCCCTCCCCCCCACTGCTGCACTCACAGCAGGGGAATGGAGGAGAAGGGGGGGGGGGGGGGGGGGGGCGGGGAGGGGGGGGGTGGTGCTGCAGATCCATTCCTGCCACCCCCTTACCCACCAAGATCCCGCCACCCCCATACCCCCCCCCCCCCACTGCTGCACCCACAGCAGGGGGATGGAGGAGAAGGGGGGGGGGGGGGGGGGGGGGGGGGTGGGGGGGGGTTGGAGGGGGGTGCGAGGGGCACTCACGAGGGGGGGCAAGGGGCAGTCACGAGGGGGTGCGGGGAGGGCACCCACGAGGGGGTGCAAGGGGCACTCACGAGGGGGTGCGAGGGGCACCCACGAGGGGGTGCGAGGGGCACTCACGAGGGGGTGCAAGGGGCACTCACGAGGGGGTGCGAGGGGCGCCCACGAGGGGGTGCAAGGGGTACTCACGAGGGGGTGCGAGGGGCACCCACGAGGGGGTGCGAGGGGCACCCACGAGGGGGTGCAAGGGGCACTCACGAGGCGGTGCCAGGGGCACTCACGAGGCGGTGTGAGGGGCACCCACGAGGGGGGGCACTCACGAGGGGGTGCGAGGGGCACTCACGAGGGGGTGCGAGGGGCACTCATGAGGGGGTGCGAGGGGCACTCACGAGGGGGTGCGAGGGGCACTCACGAGGGGGTGCGAGGGGCACTCACGAGGGGGTACAAGGGGCACTCACGAGGGGGTGCGAGGGGCACCCACGAGGGGGTGCGAGGGGCACCCACGAGGGGGTGCGAGGGGCACTCACGAGGGGGTGCAAGGGGCACTCACGAGGGGGTGCGAGGGGCGCCCACGAGGGGGTGCAAGGGGCACTCACGAGGGGGTCCGAGGGGCATCCACGAGGGGGTGCAAGGGGCACTCACGAGGGGGTGCAAGGGGCACTCATGAGGGGGTGCAAGAGGCACTCACGAGGGGGTGCAAGGGGCACCCACGAGGGGGTGCAAGGGGCACTCACGAGGGGGTGCAAGGGGCACTCACGAGGGGATGCGAGGGGCACCCACGAGGGGGTGCGAGGGGCACTCACGAGGGGGTGCAAGAGGCACTCACGAGGGGGTGCGAGGGGCACCCACGAAGGGGTGCAAGGGGCACTCACGAGGGGGGTGCGAGGGGCACCCACGAGGGGGTGCGAGGGGCACTCACGAGGGGGGTGCAAGAGGCACTCACGAGGGGGTGCGAGGGGCACCTACGAGGGGGTGCAAGGGGTACTCACGAGGGGGTGCGAGGGGCACCCACGAGGGGGTGCGAGGGGCACTCACGAGGGGGTGCAAGAGGCACTCACGAGGGGGTGCGAGGGGCACCCACGGGGGGGTGCGAGGGGCACTCACGAGGGGGTGCAAGAGGCACTCACAAGCGGGTGCGAGGGGCACCCACGAGGGGGGTGCAAGGGGCACTCAGATACCCTCCTCCCACTGCTGCACCCGCAGCAGGGGGGTGGATGAGAAAGGGGGGGGGGGGGGGGGGGGGGGGGGAGGGGGGGTGTAGAAGCTGCTCGGGCAACAGCAGGGTGCGCAACGGGCAGGAACCCGTCATTCGCCACCCCCGCCACCCCCATACCCTCCCCCCCCCTGCTAACCCTCACACCCGGTGAAGCAGGGACGCCAACAGGGGCAGCATGGGTAGTCTAGCGGAGGCGATGGCTGGAAGTTGTCGAACTCGAAATCGACGGAGGGCGCCGACCGCGGAAAGTCGGCGAAAGGAGGTGATCGCGGAGGCGGTGGCTCGCGTCAAGAAGGACGACGTTGCTGCATCTACGATGCTCCCGACCACCTCTCGTACGACTGCCCTGACCGAGACGAGTCTGACGATGACCGGGACGCCAACCGCAGAAAGGGAGAAGGTGGCCGTCATCGTCGAGACAACCAGCCGCGCAAGGAGAAGCAGGCGTCGAATACGTCTTCGACAAAGGATGTGTTATAGTCACAATAGGCTTGAATGTGCCTAAAACGAAAGATAGAGTGCACAGTCGGCTTTCTGCACAGCGGCTTCAAACGTTGATAGCGTTCTGGTCACACCTGCAAATGACCTGATTCAAATTGGATCTGAAGCGTCTTGACGTCGCCTACAATAAGAAATTTTGATTGCACGATTTCATTAAGAATTGACGACACAGCGTCGGTTTGAACGAACGGTACTATGGCAGCCACTATAGTCTTAGAACACAAGATAGGAAGAGTTACGAGTTGGGAATGACTCCCAGCTCCTACAAACCCCAAGAGCCGAGGTACAGTGATTTGGAACAGTGCCACACTGTCCCCAACCACGAAGGGTCTCGAAACTACCCTCCACAAGGGCCTACACCAAGAGAAATGTTACACTACACAAAGTAATGTAACTATTCTCACTATCTTGAAGTTTACCATTTTGGAGAGCTTCGAAATCACTCGAATCTTGAAACCAAGGCTCTGGTTCTTCAAGATAAATTCTTCCTTGAGTTCTTGGAAGTCTGCTGCGCACACCTGTGACACGCCGAACGTTCCACACACGACAAAATAGAAAAATGCACACGACACACAAACGACGACGTGACACGCGACTAGCGATAACTCGCTATTGACTCGACACACACATTCAAAATCATGCCTCATCGTTCACACACTATTGTAAGCATCAAATATATATTATCTCATGCCCTCATATCATTCCATGCACACACTCATGCACGCATACGGACAACAAGCCGAATGCAAACCGTAGGGTTGCACCAACAGGATGCGGACTCCTCTGGCGGCAACGCTCGTGGCGAGGAGGTTTCGTGCTCGATGGTAAGCGTGGTGGAGCCGACGATCTCGCTGGCACTGGAGGCTGGCGAATACTTCAGGCGGTCGCTGGTGCAATGCAAGCCAACCCGACTGTTGTGCTGCTCGACAGCGGCTGCTCCCACCATCTGATGGGGATGAAGGAGGCCTTCGTCAACATGCAGCTGAGCGGAGACGTGCGCCACATCCACGGCTTCAACGGGGCTCTTCAGGGTGTCGAAGGCAGAGGCACCATTGCTCTGCAAGGGGAGGCCAGGAAGCAGGTCCTCGTCCCCGACGTACTCTACGTTTTGGGTGTGCACGCGAACCTGCTGTCTGCTGGCCAGCTCAAGGAGAACAGCGTGAAGCTGCAGGACGAGAGTGGAGAGATGTTGCTGGTGTCTTCTGCCGGCGATGTCCTTGGTCGAGCACGCTACTCTGGCAGAATACTCTGCAGCGACCTGCGCCCCTGCTTGACGAAGTCGACGATGAGTTCGACGGAGGTAGTAGCTCTGCGGACAATCGCGTCTGCGACGAAGTTGACCCCAGACATGTTGCATGTACGGCTTGTGCACGTCGGCGTTGACACGATCAAGAGCTCGGCGAAACATGAGGTCGCCGCCGGTCTGGACATCAAGAAGTCGACCGCAGCTGATCTGCCGTCTGCCTCCTGCGTCGGCGGGAAGCTTTCTCGGCACACCTTTCCCGACCAAGGATCGGACGCCAAGAATGCGCTTGATGTGGTGCACATCGACCTCTGCGGGCCATTTTAAGTGGCCGCCAATGATGCCAGCCTCTGCTGAAAGATAGGAAGACTCGCTACCTGTGGATGAGGCCGATCGCAAAGAAAAGCGACGTGCTGGTCGTCTTCGAAAAATGGCTGAAGGAGGTGGAGCGGCAGACGTCGAAGATGGTGAAGAAGTTGCGTCCGGACTGCGGAGGGGAGTTCCTCGGTTGCGCCTTTACCGACCTTGTTGAGGACAAGGGAATCCTCCACAATCTGACGTGCCCCTACACTCCGCAACAGAACGGCATGGCGGAGCGGGAGATGCGCACGGTCGTCGAGGCCGTGCGGACGATGCTTCTGCACATGGGCGTGAAGCACCACTGGTGGCACCTTGCTCTGCGACAGGCTGTCTGGGTGCACAATTGCCTCGATCGGGCTTCTCTGCCTTCGGGGACAACGCCGCATGAGCTGTTGTTCGAGAAGAAGCCGGACTTGATGTTGGCGAACGTCTGGGGCTGCATGGTGTAGTTCATGGTCCCTGAGCAGCGGCGCGGCGAGAAGTTGGCGCCGAAGGTCCGTTGGGGTCTTCACCTTGGAGTGTCGGCAGAGAGCAAGGGCTGGGAGGTGCTCGACTTGACGGACAACAAAGTCGTCACGACGGTCGAAGCGATCTTCTACGAATGTGGAAGCCGCATGAGAAGCTGAGCTACCACGCTTGTTAGTCGCCGACGGCCTACATCAGTCTGCTCGACGATGCAGAGGACGACATCGCTCTGCCCGAGCTCGACCCTGACATGCACGCCAACCCAGAGCATCGCTGGGACATCGCCAACATGACGGTGAAAGAGACGTTGTCGAGCTGGAAAGGCAAGGCGGTGAAGGCCGCCATGGACGAGGAGATCAACTGTCTCATCTCTAACGGGACGTAGGAGCTGGTCGAGCGTCCGCGCGGTGTCAACGTGATGAAAAATTGTTGGGTACTCTCGACGAAGTACCACGTCGACGACACGATCACCCACGAGAAGGCGCGTTTCGTGGTGAAAGGTTTCACACAGATCTACGACGCAGAATACGATGAGACATACGCGCCGGTGGGGAGCTACGTGACTCTGCGGATCTTCCACAGCATTGTAGCAGTCCTCGACCTGCACCTGATGCAGCTGGACATGAAAAACGTGTTTCCGCAGAGCAAGCTGGATCGCGTCCTCTACATGTACTAGCCCGACCGCTATAACGACGGGACCGGCCACGTCTGCAAGCTGCTAAAGAGCTTGTACGGCCTGAAGCAGAGTCCGCTGCTGTGGTACACGGCGCTCAATGATGTGCTGTCTGGAGCCGGCTGGAAGAAGAACCAGGTCGATGAGGCGCTTGTCAGAATGTTATAGTGCTTACATTTTTGTTGGCTATAGTGGGGTAGCCCAGAAGGGGTACAACCCAATTAGGGTTAGTACTTGTACCCAACTCTTTCATAGTTCATTCATTCTCGTTCATTCTTTTGACATGGTTTCAGAGCAAGTCCTTTGCTAGGACCGTTTTTTTTTCCTTGGGCCCACCACAGCGCTACCCCGCTAGCCGCCCTTTGCAGCCCTCGTGCTGCCCCTACTGCCAGTCGTGACCCGTAGGCCCCTAGGCCTGTCTCCACTAGCCCATCGCCTCGGCCCGTCGCCCTAGGCCCGTCCCACCCGGCCCGTTGCCCTAGGCCCGTCGACACCCGGCCCGTCGCCCTCGGCCCGTCGCCCCTAGACCGGCCCGTCGCCCCCCCTAGCCCGGCTCGTCGCCCCTAGGCCTGTCGACACCCGGCCCGTCGCCCTAGGCCCGTCGTCCCTAGGCCGGCTCGTCGCCCCTAGCCCGGCCCGTAGGCCCGTCGCCCCCTAGCCCGGCCCGTCGCCACTAGGCCAGTCGCCCCGGCCCGTCGCCCCGGCTCGTCAACACCCGGCCCCGACACCCTAGGCCAGTCACCCCGGCCCGTCGCCACTAGGCCCGCCGCCCTCGGCCCGTTGCCCCTAGGCCCGTCGCCCCGGCCCGTTGCCCCTAGGCCCGTCGCCCCTAGGCCGGCCCATCGCCGCTAGCCCGGCCCGTAGGCCCGTCGCCCCTAGCCCGGCCCGTCACCCCTAGCCCGCGCGCCCCGGCCCGCCGCTCGACGCCCCTACGCCCGCGACTGACGCCCCTACGCCCCGGCCCGTCGCCCGACTCCCCTATGCCCCGGCCGGTAGCCAGTCGCCCCTAGGCCCGCGCCAAACGCCCCTAGGACCGCGCCCGTCGCCCCTAGCCCCGGCCCGTCGCCCGACTCCCCAATGTCAGAAGAATGAACGAGAATGAATAAACTAGCAAAGAGTTGGGTACAAGTACTAACCCTAATTGGGTTGTACCCCTTGTGGGCTACCCCACTACAGCCTACACAATGTAAGCTATATATAAGTTTGACACCCTAGGCCCCAGCCCGACGCCCCTAGGCCCGACTCCTCTCGGCCCCGGCTCGACTCCCCTAAGCCCCGTCGAGTCGCCCCTAGGCCCGCTGCTCCTTGGCCCTGGCCTGACAGTCTGCTAGCCGCCCATGGCGGCCCTCTCACTGCCCCAGTGCTCTGCGCTGCCCTGCTTCTCCTCGCTCTGCGTGCTCCGCCACTATGGCTTCTCTCCGTGTGCTAGCGTTCGATCATGAGGGACACAACCTACAGTTTGACACGTGGCTCGACGACCTACAGCTGTACCTATTGAGCGACTCTAAGGACATTGTTTCGTTGTTTGACCACACGTCTGGCGCCGCTCCCGCCCCTCCCGCCATAGCTGACAGTGCGACCCGCTCACAGTGGCTTACTCGCGACGCTGCTGCCCGCTTAGCCATTCACAACCACCTGCCGTTGGCCGAATGCGCTCACTTCGGACAGCACAGGACAGCACAGGCACTGTACGACGCTGTCGTCGCTCGCTACTCCTTGCTTGCCACTGCTGCTCTAGGCCGCCTCCTATTGCCCTACCT